CAACTTTTAAAAAAAAATAAAATAAAAAATTTAATCGCCGGTTCACCCAGCGAGGTGGCCGCGGAAGAGGCCGATTTCGGCCTTCATCGCCGCGGCCAGCAGCGTGATTTTTGCAACACTGATATATAGTATAGATATAGATTAGAATAGGAATTGTATTACACTATTTTATAATATTAGAATAGAATTTTAACGCAGAATTATTGTACGAATGGGGGAGTAGAAATCAATATATTTTATTAGGAAGCGAGATTTTTTAGGAATTGGGCGGGAAGTTAAAATTTCAAAATTTTGTTATTATATATAGTATAGATAAAAATACCCTGGTTGTGTTATTAACTGAATTTTAAAAAAAAAATCTAAAAAAAATAGAGAAATTAAGTGGGGCTATTTAAAAAAAAATAAAAATTAAAGAATAAAAATAAAGAAATTTAAAAGGAAAGGAGAAGTGGAGAACAAAGAACAAGAGTAGACATAATCCCATTCTTTCCAGGCAATTCAACATTCAAATCCATAAAAGATCTTCGTTAACTAACCTTCTCGATCAATTCCGTAGATCTGGACCAAGTAGCTACTTTTGCACAAACAATACTAAACTGATATAGTTATTGTTGAGGATATAGCATATAAAATATATGTGAAATCTAATTATTAATTTAATTCTTTAACTCAATTTGATATAAAAGTTAAACTCATACATGATTATTTAAACCTTTGCATCATATCACCAGATAAATATACATGTCATACTTACTATTCATTTATTAAATGCATCATATCATTAGTTATAGCTTAGGGACAAGAAATGAGCACGACATGTTAGTAAAAAGATGAAATTTGCAATGTCATCTTAGAAAGGAGAAATAAACACAACCAATAAGTAGGAACAAATCTATAACTTAGGGAGGAAACGTATAATTGTACCTTTTAATGTTCCTTCTTTTTTTAGTATACCCAAAAAATTTTCACCGACACAGTAACGAAACTCCTCGTTGAATTGTATGCACTTCTAATGAGTGTGACAATTAGCCTGGAAATTTGAATTTGTTTCATATGAACCATACCCAAAAACCAAGTATCAAATCCTTAATATTTAATTAAAGATAAATGAGTTCCTTCCCAAAGTTCCCATCAATCACACCCAGATTTCCTTTTAATGTTTTGGCACATAGAAAAGCAATTTTATAAAGCTAAAAGCCCACGCAATTAGAAAAGTCATTGGTACAACACACAAACGAAGCAAGTGATCACTATGGGTGAATCCAATTTGTGAAACGTCGTTATATTGTACGACTTTTGATTGAATTGCAAATTGTTGATTAACGTTGTCTACTGTAGCTGGTGGGGCCAGTGAATAATTTAGGAGCATGAGAAAATAATGGATGCGGATTGAACACATCACCCCTCGAAAAGAGGAGTACGAAGAAGAAAACCCCATTTTTTCTTACTATGTTTGGTAACTATGGGACAAGAGAGCGACAAGGTTGCCCAAACGCATGCAAACAACCCGATACTAATTTAACAACAATTTTACTTCTTACCAATTAACATGGTATTTTTTTTTTTAATGTTACTGACTCTATTACATTGTAGTATCTGTTCAAACATACTTTCTCAATTTAATAAAGCAAACAGAGTCAACAACGTCTCTACTGAGATTCGATCTCATGACCTCTCACATGGGAGAAGTCATTACATGTCATCTGAGCACGAGGTGCTTGGCAACTGTGTCCACCTTGCAAGATAGACACGGTTCTATGTTCATAATTACTGAACTATATGTTCATAATTATAAAGTTATATTATTCATAATTTTTTAACTTCATATTCATAATTATTGAATTCTATATTCACAATTACAGAACTTTATGTTCATCATTATTGAACTATATATTCATAATTATAAAACTATATATTCATAATTTTTGAACTTCATATTTATAATTAATGAATCTCTATATTCATAATTACAAAATTATATATTCACAACTCTATGTTAATAATTATGTTCACAACTCTATTCATACTTATAAAGTTATATGTTCATAATTTTTGAACTATATATTCATAATTATGAACAGTTTTGGATCCGTGTCCATATTGCACATAATTTGCCGTATATTGTTGGTACTCCAAAAATATATAGGAGTATAAATAGGATCTGCAGGCTTTATTTGGTCCAGCGTTGACATAAAATATTATTTCATTAATCAAATTAAATAATTTTTTTAAAATACTAATATTTGTTGGTAAATTCTACGTTGTAGATCAGCACTGCGATTCTTGTACGTGGTATGAACCAAAAAAATTTGAAAAAGATTTTTGATTTATAAGAGATATAATGGGGACAATGTTGTCAGAGTATTTGGTACAGATTCAAAAACTTATCCACTTTAGAATTATATTGTATCTGTACAAGAAGCACCCGTGTTTATCAACTATCAACACCTTAAAATTTTTCATTATTTTTTACCTAAAAATTTAATGTCTTATACTCTTAGACTTGTGGTGCATTTATTGTGGATAAGAAAAAAAATATCATTTAGTTACTATATTAAATGAGTTAATACTTAATTTAATCTTCAATAATAGCATTTTTTAAATTTATTCCTAAATAATTTTTATTTTTTTTTGTTTAATTAGGTAATCGTCTTTGATTGTTTTATCCAATTGAGTCATCTGTTAATTAAGATAGCTTGGTAATTTCACCTCTATTAATACTCAATTTAGTCATCGACTATAGCAGTTTTATCCAAGTTAGTCTATGACTATAGTATTTTTACTCAATTTAGTCATCGACTATAGTGATTTTTCTCAATTTAGTCCTTGATTCTAACAATCGATGACTCAATTAGGTAAAATCATCGAAGTCGTTGACCTAATTAAGCACCCAAAAAAATCGTTTATTAGAACTAATTCGAGAAAAACATCTATTATCAAGGACTAAATTTGGTATTTTCTCTATATTAAATATACTATTTCTTAAATCTTTGTACCCAATCAAAGGAACAATATATTTTGTAGATGGGTGAATAATATTTTTTTTATTTTGACATACATAATAACAATGTGCACTTGTTGAGCTCATTGACTAACATTCACTCCATTTGTAATTTCACTTTAATGATCTCATTTATTATTTTAATGATGAATTCGCTTAAATTTTGTTTAATATAGATTTAATTTTTTAACATATAAATTATATATTTACAAGCAACATTGCATGTATCAATAATTATACCCAAAAAAAAAAAAGTTTTAAAGAATTTGTTAAAAAATAACAATTGATGGTTTAAACATAAACTAAGTTAAGAATAGCACAAAGAAATAGAGATAAAGCACAGATCATTAACATTGCTTGCTTTTTAGATGTTGATTATTACAAATGTAGTGTGAGCATATATAGTGCATACAATAGAGGACGATGTACCAGCTAATAAAAGTTTTATTATTCTTTTAAAGTTTTAAATCATATCCTTCTTGTTTTCAAAAATAAAAAATAAAAAAAATCATATCCTCTTATGGATAGTGACCATTATTAGTAAATGAAGATCTATGTATCTATCCTTGGTAAACAATCTATAAATTCTACAATAAATCATCTGTGGATTTGGAAATAGCAATAGCAAGCTGTAAGTAACTAATTACAACCCAGTAATACTGATATAGATCCGATAAAAAATTTCTTTAGTTAAACTAATCGCAGGATAACACAATACACATTAAACTAAAAATAAGTAATTACAACCCATAAAATACTATATAACACCACATCTAATTAATTACTGATTGACTTGACACATCAATACTGATATAGATCCGATAAAAAATTTCTCTAGTTAAACTAATCGTAGCATAACACGTACAATACACATAATAACACCACATTTTATTAATTACTGATTGACTTAACGCATCGATACTGATATAGACTAGATACAAAATTTCTCTAATTAAACTAATAATAACATAACACGTTAGTTATCACATTTTCTATAAAATCCAAAAGAAAATGGTCCACCAAGATCTCAGCTGTCGGTATCATTGCCACCCCTTAGACCGACATAATTCCAATGTATGAGTATGACACACATTTTATTCATGTATAAATATCATATACTATACGCTAAACCTCTATATATTTATCTTCAAACTAAACTAAGCTAATAAACATTAAAACTCCAAACTCATTTTACGCATTAAACCACGTTCTCTTTCACTTTCATAGCGTCAGATATGGAGCTTGAGCTACGCCTTGCTCCGCCAAACAACTTTGTGGACAAAGGTTTCGATCTGAACGATAATGCATTCGAGGAAAACGAGGTAATGGTGGTCAAGAAACGGCGTGTCGTTGGTGAAGCCTTTGTTGAACGTAAAACCTCGTCTTTGGTTCTGTTGAATGGGCACCCAAATGATGATGATGATGAAAACTCGAGCAACTATGAATCTGGTTATGGGTAATCAACTTTGCTTTTTACACTTTTTATGGATATGAGTAAAAGGGAAAATTGTATTTTTAGTCTACCAGTTATATCTGTGGCGAACTAAATCAGTTGCTTTATTAAGTGGCAAATTATATTGCTGGTAGAAATACTCCCTGATGGACTAAGTCAACCACTTTATTTATTTTTATTTTTATTATTTATTTATTTATTTTGATTCTAATTCAAATTTACAACTAAACAAAGAGACTTTTTTTTTTTTTTACTTAAACTCATTACTATTACTAACTATGTGATTCTTCATTACTATTATGATTTCAATGTTTGAACTAATAGATTACTGGTTGTTACAACAACTTGCTAACTATCTGCTATCTTCTCTCCCTTGTATGCTATTTAAAGTTGATTGTTTACATCAATAATATCAGTCACAAATATCCTTAACATGAACCAAATGTACCCTAATTAACATTTTAATCATGGCAGGAATGTAAGGGAAGAAGGAGAAACAGTGAGTTGGGCACATGTAAGTTCATGGAGACAGAAATTTGTAAATGGTAACATTAATAATAGAGGAAGAAAGTCCAAGTTTGTGAAGGTGAAGATGGTGGGGGTTGCCATAGGAAGAAAAGTTGATCTTAGGCTCTACAATTCATATCATCACCTTAGAAATGACTTAGTCAACATGTTTGCAAAAGGTAACTCATCATCTCTTTGTTTTTGTTTTTATTTATTTATTTTTGTGTGGTGTATTGGTATATAGTACAACTTGGGTATGTTAGATAGTATAAATATATAATATAACTGAATAGAAACATAATTACCGATATTTCCTAACTTTAATTTGACTTATTAGTATTTTTTTTCCTATGTATAGACAATAATGCATATGATAATGGAGGGGAATATGGAATATTTTACCAAGACAAAGTGGGGGATTGGTTGCTTGCTGGAGATGTTCCATGGCAGTAAGTATATGAAGTGTACTTTTGCTATTTATATATGTGTTTAAAAGGAAAATAAAACTCACAAGCAAACTGAAACTATTATTCTTTGCAGGACATTCATGGAGTCTGTTCAAAGGATAGAGATAGTAAGGAATGGATGGGATTTGAAATGATAAAATAACCTAAAATTATTGGGTACTTACTAGCAAATAATATATTTTTGCTCAACAAATTATGTCGACCCTTATTAGAATGGGACTCAAAACTAAGACCTTCTTTATAGAAAGCAACAACGATGTTCATAAGTCATTTGGTAAGCTTAATTAGTTATTATAATACTATAATAATGTAATAGTCTTGCTGTATTGTCTAATATAATAGAGGAGGACAAGTTGTACTTAACTTGTAGTTTGTAATATAGTTTGTATTGAGAATTAATTAGTTGTTTTATATTCCATCTATTATCTATCTCATTTCATCAATTCAATTAACCGCCAACAAGGGTCTGCGCTCTAAGAGTGAAGGAACTTTACCTTTTGTGGACAAGCAAGAGTTAGCGAACTTAATTAAAAAAGACCCTAATTCAATTCACTTTTATAATTTACTTGCGTAATAGTTGGTTCATAAAATAAAATACTATGTAGGGAAAATGACACTTTTTTCCCTTGAGTTATATACTTATAGCATTTTTTTCCTCTCAATTATTTAGGTAAACACATTAGCCCCCTCAATTATTCTAAAAGTGGTGTTTTTTCTCCCTAATATATTAAATTGACATTTCTACCCTTAAAGTAAACATTTTATTTATTTTACTTCTCCAACAAATTATTGTGTATACGTAGGGATGACCACAGTTCGGTTCAAACTGAACCAGACACTAAATCAATCGAATTAAAAGTTTCCAGTTATGATTCAAATCTAGAACCCAACATTTGGATTTCAATTTATTAAAATTATGAATCAAAAAAATTGGATCCTGAACCGTGAATCGGCAATTCCGAATCCGGTTCGCAATTTTGAACCGTCTTTATTTTAAAATTTTATTTTTTATTTTAAAATAGTCTAAATTTAGCAATAAATGTATTTTATTTTTTCAGTTCGGAACATGAACCGTCCGTTTCGGTTCGCGATTTTAATAAACTCTAAATATCGGGTTTCGATTCTAAATTGTAATTGAAATATTTCGGTTTGGTTGGTATAGTGTTTGTTTGGTTTGAACCAAATTATGGTCATAATGTGTTGGAGAAGAAAAATAAATAAAATATTTATTTTAAGGGTAAATATGTCCATTTAACATTTCAGGGGAAAAAACAGCCACTTCAATAATTCAGGGGAAAAAAGTGTTATATGTATATAACTCAGGGGGAAAAAGTGCTATTTTCCCTACTATATATTATATAAGAAATGGAATATGTGAGGTATATAATAGAATTCACATTTCATTGTTTAATTAATTGAAGAAATAGACTTCAAAAATTCTATTCTAGTTTAGTTTGTTCACACTAAAAAACAAAAACAAAAAAAAAAAAAACAAAACAAAAAAAAAAAAAAAAAAAAAAAAAAAAAAAAAAAAAACTGTGATTTTTAATGTACATTTTGTATGCATTACCAATATTTTGAAAGTTTGCAACTCATAAGAAGATACATAATCAATAGTTATATCGTGGATCATGATCTTAAAACTTTACTCTTACTTTTTTTTTTTTTTTATCTAGCTTTTATTTATGTATAAACAAAATTAATGTGCAAAAAACATATCATAAAAATTATCTAATTAGGATCTTTTAAATTACTCTATTAGTGATTTTTTTTTTCAATTGTATAAAATAAATCTATAAGTACATAAAGTCATTACTTTAGGTACTATTGTAAGTGCATACATTCTCCATTGTATGTATATAAATTCACTATGTACTGCAAATACATACATTCATTATTGTTGGTCTCTCTTTCACTCGATCTCTCACGCACACACACATATACATATACATATCTTCATCCATGTCATGTTGATCTGGAAAAAGATGTCTTCTTCATCCAAATCGACATGGATGAAGAAACTTGGCAAACATCTCTGTCTGATCAAGACGGAGAAGTTCGTCAACTTATTAGTCTGATCTAAATGAAGAAATTGGTGGTTTCTCCGTCCAATTTGAAGAATTTTTTTTAAATTTTTGTTGTAATTTTTGAATAAGATGCCACAACAGATTTCATACAAGAAAAACTATCTAAGTTAACTTTTGATAAATTGATAAAAATGTTAATAGATTTGATTCATAAAAGTCATTATTGTATGTGCACTTCATTGTAGATACACAAATTCACTATGTACTACAAATATATACATTCATTATTATTAGAGTGTGTATATATATACTAGCATTTTTTACGCGTGATGCACGAAAAGTCATGCCAATATTAAAACATTGATAAATAAAAATAATTAAAAATTATAATTCAAATTATATATACACAAATTATATATGTATTTTATACACACACATATATCATTTACCATTCATAGAAATTAATTAAAATATAACCAATCATTAAATTAATTATATAATGATTTTAATAAAATGATAATTAAAGAAAATGAAAAAGATATGATAGATATAAGTGTATGGTAATAATGATAGAGTTATTAATGTTAGAATTTAAAAGTAACGGTATTATACCGGTGTAAGGGTAGCTTTGTCTAATAAGAATGTAGTAGGGACAGTTTTGTCTAAAAACATTGAAGTGTACAACACTTAAAGTAAAATGTATAAATTTATAAGCATACAAAAAGAGGGACATAAACCAAGGATATAACATTGATTGTGGCTAATTATGTTTTTAGATTAGATTAGATTAGATTAAATTATATATATATATATATATATATATATATATATATATATATATATATATATATATATATATATATATATATATATAGGGTCGAGATTAGGTGTGAAGGAGGTCTCGGGTGCGAACAGGCGGTGAGATCTATGCCGTTGATCAAATCTAGATCAACGGCTCAAATCAATGAATTTTTTTTTTTTTTAAACGCGCATCTGGAAAGAAGAAGCAAAGGCTAAAAATGGCTCACCTTAAGTGTTACAAAGACATACCTTAGGTGTTAAAGCAACGCATGCCTTAAGTGTTAAAATGACGCACCTTAAGTATTGACATCGCACACCTTCAGTTTATAAAAATGGCGCACCTTAAGTTGTAAAATCACGCACCTTAAGTATAAAAATGGCACACCTTAAGCGTAGAACTTACATATGCACCTTAAGTTTATAACTGACGCACTATAAATGTTAAAATGGCATACCTTAAGTGTTAAAAGGACGCACATTAAGCTATGGAAAGATGCACCTAAAGGTTTAGAATGACGCACATTAAGTTGTCAATTGAATAACTAACGCACCTTAAGCACACAAAAACCACGCACCTTAATTAAGAAGGAACATGACGCACCTTAAGTTTGACCAACACGAAAAATGACCAAATTGTCACCGCATTTTTTTTAATTCTTGTTAATCCTGAACGTCGATTTTGACAAGATCAATGACTCCCATCTCACCGCATATTTCACTTAGACACAACATCTGCATCTGACCTCTAACATATATATATATATATATATATATATATATATATATATATATATATATATATATATATATATATTCATCCATGTCGATCTGGAAGAAGATGTCTTCTTTGTCCAAATCAACATGGATGAAGAAGCTTGGCAAACTTCTCTGTCTGATCAAGACGGAGAAGCCTGTCGACTTCTTCATCCGATCTAGATAAAGAAATATGTGGCTTCTCCGCTCAATTTGAAGAATTTTATTTTAAGTTTTCGTTTTAATTTTTGAATAAGATGCCACATCATCAGATGTCTTACAAGCAAAACTATCTAGTTAACTTTTAGTAAACTAATAAAAATGTTAATTGCACCATTTTAAGAAATGTAAGGGTTTAATTGTATGTTTTATAGTTTGATGGTCTAATTGCATTTTTTATATAGTTTAATAGTCTATTTGGCCATTTAAAAAAATTAAAATATTAAAATTAAGTTGTAAAAACATTACAAATAAAAATTTGATACATTTATAAAAATTATTATGTAAGAAACATTTTTTTTAAAAGATAAAAATGTGTTGTCTATGGCGTATGGGGGCAAATTATGCCCTGGAAACGTGTTCACCGAGAATAGTGAACACAAGGCCAAACGACGTCGTTTTTAGGCAAAAAAAAAAAAAATTCGCGGATGTGGAGTTAACGGCGCGCGTTGATCAAATTATGAATTTTCCGTTATGAGATTATGAATTTTCATAAAATTCATAATATCATAACAGAAAATTCATAATATCATAACAGAAAATTCATAATATCATAACATAAAATTCATAATCTCATAACTGAAAATTCATAATCTTATAACAGAAAATTCATAATCTCATGGTTCCAAAGTGAATGTGTAGGCATGGTTCCAAAGTGAATGTGCAGGCATGGATTCATAATTTATGAATGTCCGTGATTTCGGACAGGAATGTGTAGGCATGGTTCCAAAGTGAATGTGCAGGTATGAATTCATAATTTATGAATGTCCGAAATCATTGTTCACCTCAAATTAAAGTGAAACCGCAAAATGTGAAAATGAAGAAGAAAAGTCACACAATTAATTAAGAAAAAAATAATAATAATAACGGTGTACTAACACCGTTGGAACCGTGTTCACCATGAATGGTGAACACGGTTCCATGGCATAACGCTCCTTGGGTGGAGAAAGACTTTGATGTCGATATATCCAGTTCCGCCAACTTGAAAAAGAAAATAAAGGAAATAATTTTGGAAAAAGAAAATCATATCTTTTGATTTTCTACTCTTTTTAACCACTACTATGGCCAAAACATCCATCATTTTCCAATTTTTAGGAGGCACTAGAGAATTTTCTAGCACATATTTGAACCCAATGCACAAATTATATCATGGACTATGGTCCACGCCTTAAATAGTGAATTCTGGTCAAAACAACGTCATTTTATATTAAATGTCAATCGGTGCATAATGTTTAATAATTGATAAGTGTCAAATTCTACCACTTTTTAGAGACTTTTTTTTGGATATATAATTTGTGATTGGATTTGTTTTATTTATGCTCAAAATATCTTGAAATGTGATAAAGGATTAATTTTGAGGTATTTTTGTGTTTGGTAGGAAATTAGGGCTAAAACAAGGGTAAAATGGACAAAATGAAGCAAAAATGGGAAGGAAGCTATAAAGTTTGCTATTACGAGCTCAATTACACACGTAACATGGCTCGTAACGTCCAAGATCAAAGGTATATCCCTGCTATTATGAACGCTATTACACTCTTAACGAGATTCGTAGCAAAGAGTACGTATCAGAAAGCCAGTTCTACTACTA